TCTCTCTCTCTCTCTCTCTCTCTCTCTCTCTCTCTCTCTCTCTCTGACATGAGTGGGCAGGCTAGGTTCTGAACCTTGGATGCAAGTGCTCTTATCCTCATGTCCCCCCTCTCTCTCTCTCTCTCCTAATTTGATCTTTTAAATGTCTCAGATGGCTGACCCATTGACAGCATTGATGCATGCTGTTCAAGTCATGAACTTGCTCAAGACCTTGATTTTGAGATCTCTCAGAGCACGCCAAGAAACTGAAACAGGAGGTTACTCGCCATTTTTCTCTTCGCCAGATCAACATGCTCATGACGAAGATGAAAATGATGATGCTGATTTTGATGACGATTATGATGGGTTCGACAGTCAGCAAGAGTCAGTGGGCATGAGCTGTGAATTGAGGGCAAGCGATTATGATGAAGAGGAGGGGCACGACAGTCCTGAGTGTAGAGATGGGGGTGAAGATATTGAATGCTTCTTAAGGAGCCTCAATGAAAAGGAAGCCCATTTGAATGAACCTGACTTGTTGGGAAGAAAAATTGGAAGTGACTGTTCTATCAGTCCTAGCAGTGGATCAAGCAGCCGAGCATCAATGAGAATTGAAAAACCTTTAAAGTTGAGTGAAGTCAATCTCAATGTCGAGTCTAAAACATCAATTCCTGAAAGCAAGAATGAAAGCTCAATCACAAGTGTGGAAGAGAGTGAAGAATCATCAGAAGAAATTTATAGTGCATCCAAGAAGAAGTGCTCTATGGAGATCTGTAGATAGTACCATTGCGAAAGAAATGGTTGGGGTTTGCATGGAGCATGTTAATGTTCCTTTTGTTGCTATTGTGCCAGGGTCTGGGTAACTAACATCGGTTTCTTTGAGGTTGGTGAGGTTATTAGAAAAAGATTTTGGTTTTCTGAAATATCCATGGCTCTTTACGCCTGTAAATCGCTTTATCTTGATTGGTTTTGTCGAGTGGGGTTTGAAAATTGAGAGTAGTTGTGGAATGTGACTGACCAATTCAGCTTCAAGCTGAGAGTTACTTGCTACGAATGTGTTGATTCCCTGTTTCCTTTTTGAAACTTGGATCAGTATCATCACTGTGTGTCCTATTATTATGTATTTTCTTTACCAAAAGTGTGTATTATGTAGTAACAGAATGAGCTGCTCATGCTCACTATCTAGGTCAATCTCTCGACCATTCATAGTTGAGAAAAGGTCGATGGATGCCACAGCTGTTTATCATATATCTGACACAGGCTGTGCATGGTATGCTATTATATTAAAGTGCCTAGAGTCATCAGTTTACATTACAGGGATTTCACGAACTTGGGGTGTCCTATAATGCTTAGTGAAAATGAAAACCTTATCTTAGATCCAGCCAATATGAACACTACATATGAATCAAAATATCTTAATGATGTTAACAAATGAATGATGAAAAAGACAAATGGGTCTCTTACATAAGTTATAGTAGTGGTTGTTTGCTTCTACAGTTTACATTCTATCTGTTCTTTGCTCTCATATTTGTCTCTGGATTTGATATTCATCAGCAGTTGCCAAGGTGTTACGGATGTCCCTGATCACAATGGCATAGGAGACTGAAATTTTTTAGAAGCTTTGTTTAGGGAGAGGGTGGGGGGCTGGATGGGGTTGAGTAGCTACTATTAGGCTACTCCTACCAGTAATCCTTACAAGAGCATGTGCCATAATTAAAGTGGTGAAACCTGATTCGGTCCCTCACCACTATCTCCCGACCATAGATCAATGATATCAATTTCGTTACAGAGTGGCAATCGCTACAAACCCGAAGATTCTTCACAATCCTTAGGGTAGAGCCTGGTGGTGTGCTTATAAGCCCCAACCCAATGGCCAACTTCTCACTGTGATGCCCAAGAGCCTCTTCTTTCTCTTCCTCTTCAATGTCATACAACACCATACCTGTTTCTGCCAAATATCCTTCTTTTTTCAACTTCCTCTTTAACTCATCCAACTTTTCATAAATTTCACCATATCTCGGGTGGGTTTTGTCACCCGAGACAAATTCATGAATCACATTGCCAAATTCTATTGAGCTCCAACCAGGAACCTTCTTAATTCCACTCTCTTGCATCATTTTTCTCACTCTACTTACGTCCACCCATCTACCAGCCGAAGCATATATGTTAGATAGCAAAACATAGTCCCCACTACTATGAGCTTCCATATGTGCTATGACTCTCTCTCCTATCTGTACATTCTTGTATAGCCTGCAACCACCAAGCAAAGCTCTCCAAACAACAATATCAGGTTTTATCACCATGTTTCTTATCACCTCCTCTGCTTCATCAAGAAAGCCAGACCTACCAAGAAGGTCAACCATACAAGCATAATGCTCGACAATTGGTTTCACTCCATAAATTTTCATGGTATTATAAAAGTGGGCTCGACCCTGGTCTATGAACCCACCATGGCTACACGCCGAGAGCACCCCAATAAAGGTGATCTGGTCTGGTTTCTCAATCCCCTCTTTCCTCAATTGCTTGAAGAATTCTAAAGCTTGTGCTGCTCGACCATGAATGGCTAACCCGTTAATCATGGCATTCCAAGCGCACAAATTCTTTCTTTGCTTCAATCCGGTGAAAACTTGCAAACCTAATTCGACCTCTCCACATTTTGAGTACATATCAACCAGTGCAGAGCCTAAAAAAGCATCCAATTTCATGCCCTTGCGCTCAATGTAAGCATGGGTCCATTTTCCTGTATCTAAAGCTCCCAAACCGGCACAAGCTGAGAGTATAGTGGCCATGGTTGTCGCATTGGGTTTTAAATTCTGAACCTTCTGCATCTCTCTAAAAAAAAATATGGCTTCCGCATATAACCCATTTTGGGTGTAGCCAGATACCATGGCGTTCCAAGCCACCACATCTTTTTCTGGCATTTCATCGAAAAACTTTCGAGCTGAACCTAAATCTCCATTATCAGAGTACCCCACCAAAATTGCAGTCCAAGCAGAGGGACTACCAAGCTCAGGCATGTCTTTGAAGAGGTCTAGAGCTGAACCCAATTCACCAGACTTAACATAGCCATTGATCATGGAGCTATAAGAAACTTCATCTCTCTGACCCATTTCATTGAACAGTTGCCTAGCAATGAAGACATGCCCACAGAGGGAGTATAGATGGATTAACCCATTGTTGAAAAATGTATAAGAGACCATGCCAAGCTTATAGGCAAAAGAATGGAGCTGAAATCCTACAGATAGGGAGAGAGAAAGTGATGAGGAGAGAGAGAGGGCCTTGAGGAGGAATTGGAAGGTGTAGTGATTGGGACGATGGGTATGCATGTGAGAAGTGAAGAATGTGATGGCATTACATGGTGATGGTGAATGGGCCATGGCTCTGATGATGGAGTTGAGATGGTAGATGGATGGGTTGTATAGGTGATTGAAGAGGAGCTTAGCATAGTGTATGCTGGTGGTGGGAAGGTGGAGTAGGCCTGTGAGTATGGTGGTGATGATAGCATGGTATGATGATGATGGTGGTGATGGGGATGTGATAATGGCATGGGCATGGATCTGTTGGAGATGGTTTATGCATGTGCATGCGCGGATGAGAGAGAGGATATGTTTTTTTAGTTTGTGAGGGTGGTGGGTGTGAAGCGCCATTCATGAGATGGGGCAATGGTGGTAATGGAGGGCGGCCAAATTCAAATTCAAATTCAAATATATTGTTTGGTTATTTGATGCAAGGGCGAGAGATTGTGCGGGTTGATATGCTGTACACTCGCTTGCAAGGTGGATATATATATATATATATATAGAGTGAACTTTTTATTTATTTTTATTGATTTTTGGTAAAATGCATCCAAATTTATGATGTACGGTATGGTCTTTGGTATAGGATAATGGCGAACCAAAATTTGTATTAGCGGACCCTAATCAATAGATCCCGATTAATTGAAAGAAGACCATGATGATGCATTGGATCTGGTTTTTCGGTTGGTTAATTTAGAGGGGAAAGGATCCCCTACAGAAGAGCAGTTCAGGAGTATACAAACTGGTGATTCTCCAACCCTAGGTTGGATAGACTGATTCCAGTTTTGACTGTGGGATTTTTCAATCTGAGATTCTAAACGTGGTCGTAGCTGGTTGGTTCTATGGCACATTATCATTTCGGACATTTAAAAATTTGAATATAAACACAAGCTATGTTTGCTAGGATCGTGATCCTCTGGAGTGCCCAGATTCTCAACAGTCATTAAAATTAAAATTAAGTTTACAAAAAAATTCCATTTTACTTTTAGATTTTCAAAATAGACACCCATGTTCATATTTTATAATCTTGTCTTCTCAAAATATTTTATACTCTTGTACTACTTTTTGAGAGGCTACAGTGTATTTGAACTTTATTTGTTTATGTACATATGATTGATCTCAAATTTGGGAAATACATATTACCATCACATGCTTGTAAAAACTATAAAGAAATAAAAAAAATTAAAAAAAGAACAACATAATTTAACAATAAAGGACTTCAAAGGCCCCACTTTTTCTGTTGATCTAAATGACTTACCTCTCTCTCTCTCTCTCTCACTACTATGACCGCCACCATACCACTGTTGCCAAAATACTATGGATCACAACTGACGCAATTAAAAGGTGTGGTTTGTATAGAGCCGAGGCTCTAAACAATCAAAGTAAAGCACACCTTCAAATAGTGCCGAGAAATATGATTTCAATACCAAAAATCTTTGTGATAGCCTTCAAATAAATTTTCATCTTTAATTATAAAAGTTCAAGCTTCAAAAATAGTGTAGATCCAACATATTTATGAAAACTTGAAAATCATAAAAATTGATCATCCAAAAATGCATTACAAGATGCACTATATCCAAAACTTGAAATCTATTTTTTTCTCATGATCAAGATGATCAATTTGAGGATATTTGAGCATCAAAATAACCTCTTCTAGTGAAATTTTTGAGGTGGGCTCTTATTTGATTGTTTAGAGCCTGGGCTCTATATAAACTTTTTCCAACCTTATATTATTCATTTATTTCAAGTTCATAAAATATATCATCATATTTGAGAACTTTAAGCAAAAGGCTGAAGTCCTTATACTTGAGATTGTAGAAATTCTAAGTTGCTACTGTCCCAATCTATAACAACAATCCTATCAAAAGCCGTAGAAAGCATTAAGCTGAGAAAAGATACAAGAAAGATGAGTACTAGAAAAAAGGTCTTATCCAAGAATAGTAAGTGTGAATAAATTGGATGTAATGCTGGTGAAAATTCATCAAAAGAAGTTCCTGGTAATCGTTCGAGCATGTGACTAAATCAGCTGCAAAATCTGGAAGACATTGTGTGCTCAAGACTGCAATACCGATGACATGAAAATAGACATTTATTTATTATTGGATTTCTAGATAGGATACAAAAGAGAACAATGTCAAGATCAAACCATTACAATTTAAAAGGAGAAAAAAAAAAAAGCAACAGACAAATCTCCAAGTGCCTTTTCAGTCTAGTCAAATTTCCAACTCAAAAAGAATCCTAAGCTCCGAATTATTTAAGCAAATCCTTCATTATTAAACAACAAAAAAGGATGGGGGATTCAAATTGTGCCTTCTACCCTTCCAGTTTCTTCCAGTCATGTTCAGTATGCAGATGAAATGTTGAAAGAGCATACCGCAAGTATTTTGTTGGTATGCTCTCACAGATTTATTTGGAATCAGAGGTTCCTGATAGGATTCTCCAAGTTTCATGTCATGATCAAAGATTTACTCTCTTTGATCACGTGAGCAAAACCTCTAATTTCCATTCCCTGCTGATCAGTCTTATTTGGAACTTTAAATATTTTTAGTCTGTCAATTCACAAGTCCTGTCAACACTATTGTCACTTTACAGAGAGCAACGACAATTTGTGAACGTCATTTGTAACTTAAGGTTGGCAATAACAGAAACGAAGATGCGAAAGGCGCAGTATGCTATATAGTCCAATTGATAATTGGAATCATAGCCCACTGGGGCCAAGACCATATTCTATGAGATGATAGATAATGAGGAAGGGAGTGGGAACCACCAGAACATGAAATTACCCAATATAATGGTCCTACTTTATCTCCATGACAATCCATCATTTCATTAGAAGGTCACAAACGTGCATTGGGTTAGAGTATGATTTCCCAGTGAGAAAACCTCATAACCACAGCTTGCCTTCAAAGTTCAAAATGTAGGCATCTTCACTGAAGGAAAATGGGCCACTACCAACCTGAACACATCCCTTCGAAATACCACCTACACCGTTTGAAGTAACTGAGTCAAACACTGTACGCTACGCAACTCCAGCACCTCCTAGAGAAGCATATGATTTTGAAGTGTGCGGCCTTCTTTTCTGAAAGAAATGGGTAGCTTTTCATTGGCATGTCTCAAACAAATGGAAGGCCAAAAACACCAGAATATGACTTTTTTTTTTGAGAGAAGACAACTTGTATTAAGAGTAAGGAAAGAGTATACAGACAGTACCCTAATACAGGGTCCAATGGGTACATGAAAGGAAATTAGATACAAAATTCTGTGCAAGATTCTTTGCATTCTCGATCTGAGAACAGTGTAAAAAAAGGTCTTAGATGCCAAGCTGAATGGGAGCTGCTGCTCCGTCTTTGGCAAGGGTATCAGCCAGTGAATTAGCTTCACGCCAGATATGAGTCCAGGAAACTACAATTGGGCTGATAATGTCACCGATTTCATCAAAGATGCGAGCTAGTCTCCAAGGAGGAACGGCTGACAACGATGGATTTGGAGTCACCTTCAATGGTAATGTGATTGCCCACTCAGGTCTCTACAACCTCATGCATTCAAGCAATGCAGTAGCCTCTGCTGTTGTGCTGTCGTTGAAACCAATGTGTTTGGAGAGGGAGCAAAAGGTGTGGCCAGACCGGTCCCTGAATAGGCCTCCAACCCTGACAGGTCCTGGATTTCCTAGGGAACATCCATCGACGTTAAGTTTAATCCATCCAGGTTGGGGGCCGCCAAATCGAGGGCCAGGCCACCCTCAGGGTGGTTAGGTGGCACAACTGGAGCCATTTAGGCCAGAAGTCTGAGGTGGAGAAACCTCTAAACTGCTTGAGGTTCTTGGTCCAGAAAATGACCAAAGAGAACACTTTCTCCTTGAGGCTGGCTGCTGAGCTACTTTCACCTCTGAAGATTCTATGGTTTCTTTCAATCCAAGTGGATCATAAAGTGGCAGAGACCATGGCCTTCCAAAGAATGGTTCCAGCTTTGGGCCAAGGGACGGATTGAGAGAGGTTGAAGAGGCCAGGGACAGACTGAGGGGTGATCCAAACCCAGCCAAAAAGTTGAAGGATTTGCCCCCAAAGGTATTCGGCTACTGGGTAAGGGAGGAACAGGTGGGCGTTAGTTTCTTCGGCATTTTGGTACATGGCAGAGCGGTTGGGAAGAGGGATTCCTCTCATTTGAATTTGATCCACGGTAAGCACCCTTTGGTAGCTAGAGAGCCAATTGAAGATTTGAAGCACAAATCAGCCCTTAATCCGAACGCTCTGTTCTAGAGTGTGACCAACACCAACTACTGCAATTTCAAACCAGAAGATATCAAGTGAGAGAAGGGTTCACCATATAATCACAGGCAAAAGTAGTACAACTCCCAATGGAGAAGACAATCTATAGATAATGAGGTTTACAAATTACAGAAATACCGCCTTGGATTCATGCATCACCTGGAGGATCATACCGAATCTCGAGACAGGACACATAGGACAACTGGAACACAAAACCACACAAACAAGAATAACAACAAGCTAACAACGGACACAAAAGATACACAAACAGTACCTGAAGTCCCACTGCACATCGAAACAGGTGTCTTCGACAGAAATAACATCATGAACAAAGCAGTTCACATACGTTTTGACTTTGGAAACAGCCATTTTAAGGACATTCACTGCTTTGGTAGGAGGAACACCTGTAGCTACTGAACATCTCAAACAACTTCACAGGAAACAACAAAGGGACAAAACAAAGACATACATCACGGGTAACAGGGAACAACATTGACAAAGCATACACAGTAAACTCACAACAAAATCACAGAAACACAGAGAACAAAACAGACCTCAAATTTGAAAGGATTCAACATTGAAGCCCTAAATTGGATTGAGTCTCCAATTAATTTTGAAAAACAGATGAAGAAGAGTAAAGTGCATATTAAGGGCACATTATGATAGAAGTGGAAGCCCAATAACCCAAAGATTTTGTTCCACACTCGTACGAAATTTTAAATTTCATCTCTAAATAAGCCTCCAAGGTTTCAAAAATTACAAATAATTAACATCAGTACATAGATATGTTTGCACATAATGATGCATTTTAACTATTTCCATCCTTTTGAGCAGCAACCAGTTCCCACCTTTAATCAATGATGGGCAGGAGTAATATATAGGACCATTAATTATCCTTCACCTGCTCCACATAATAGCTGATAAGATAATCAAAAGCCCAACAATGCATGAGCTTATCTCGGATGCAGTGCCAAATCAGCACAATACAAAAAATGTTGTTCATATATCTCCATGCTGTAACTTGAGGTATTAATAGGGTTTACTTTGTTTGTTGTCTCTCTTAAGCTGAACCTTCAACTTCTTACCACTTAATTGACAACCATTCATCACATTGATTGCAGCCTGGGCTGCAGCAGGTGAGTCATAACTAACAAAACCTGCAAACAATAGCTGTAAAGTTAGTAATGCAAACGACAACCTGCATTAGCTTTAGATTTTGCCAAAGCCAAAAGTGAATCTCACCAAAGCATTTGCTAACACCAGTTGCTTTGTCAACAAATACTTTAGCGCTCAACACCCGACCAAATGCTTGGAACGCATTTGAAAGTTCCTGATCACCAAAGTCTTGTGGAATATGATATATAAATAGATTGGCACCAGGAGGACCTGTTACTGAGAACACTAGTCAAACATATGCAATGATCTTTGATTCACCCAAACGGTGATTAAAAAAAAAAGTTAAAATACACAATGAGAGTTTTACCACCTTCAACCTGTGATCCAGAGCTTGTACTGACATTGGAAGATGTGGAATTGGTCTTGGGGATAGAAGCAGGGTTTGAACCAGGGGTAGCAGCCAAAGGCCTAGGGCTCATCATACCACCTGGATATGCCATAGGATACTGAAGGCCAGGCACACCAGGATATCCAGAACCTAGATAACCCGCAGTTTGCATTGTACCAAAATTTCTTGGTGCCATACCAGAAGCAAGATCAGGTGCCATGTTGCGCAAAGCAGTTCCTTGATTGACAGGTGGAACCATGTTATGTAGACCTGGTTGATTTTGCAATGATGGCAGGGGGTATTGCATAAGCCCATAAGTTCCAGGTGCCTATAAACCAAAATAAACAAATAAATAGGAAAACAAATAGAGCTACTTACTTTAAAAAGAAATATGCCATGATGAAGAATTTAGGCTTAGGGGTATGGGGTGGTTACTTATGATTTGAGTAAAGCTGACAAGAATCAATTGGAACTCACAATTTCTGCATAGCCGGATGCTAGTGCTGTTTCTAGTCAGGCTTAAGACATTAATGGGTTGCTTATTTGTGAAAGGCTGTTTTACCAATGTCATTTGTGGGGCAATGGGGGATACCCTATTCCACAATGACACGAAAATGTGACCAAGGAGATAAATTCTATAGAGAAATCCTTGAAGCATGTTCACAAAAAAGAGGTATTCTTCCTGAATAATCATGAAAAGTGGATCTCAGACATTATTGGGTTACTTATTTGTGAAAGGCTGTTTACCAATGTCATTTGTGGGGCAATGGCGAATACCCTATTCCACAATGACATGAAAATGTAACCAAGGAGATAAATTCTATAGAGAAATCCTTTAAGCATGTTCACAAAAAAGTGGTATTCTTCCTGAATAATCATGAAAAAGCTAGCTGGAGTGGGTCTCTAGATTTGGGTAATTATGAAGCTGTTTTTGTTTCCGTAACCAAGGTCTGAAGTTGTTTCTTTTCTGATATGTGACTCAACCATGCAAAATGAAGCAGCCTGAATGAACAAACATACTCTTCATACCAAATCTTAGAGTGAAAATAATTGCACCCACAAACATTAACCATGGACTTTTGAATCATTACATGTGAAGCTTACACATTATTATAAGTTTCATGAGCAGTTTAACAACGCCAGATAAACACCTCACACAATAAGACAACATGTTTTTCCTTAGTAAATGCCATGAATGTGATAAAAGAGCCAAACCTGATAGCCAAAACTATTAAAAGGTGGCATGTATCCCATTGGCATGGCCCCAAAAAGTGAAGGTTGCTGTGAATCAATGCTTGGGACATTTGGAGGTTGAGATTGAGCCTTTTGGGCTCGTCGAGCTTGTCTTTCTTTTTCTGTATCCGCCCACTTAACAACTAAAGGTACACTAGAGCCCTGGAAATACAAAATAGAGTTGGTTGGCAAGAATTAAATTTTCCTTCTACAAGTACCTATTTTTTCCAAAAGTAGCAATACAAGTTTAAAAGTCTTTAACCATTGACCCATAAGAAAAGCCTTATGTCAGATTTACTACCACAACTCTTCAGATCCAAACACTAATATAGGACTGATGCTTCTATGACTCCACATATCCACTATATTGGCAACAAGATCAGAATTACTACAGTTCCTTAGCCCCTAATACAAATGACAATGATATTGATTTTCTTTTATTTAAGAGAAACCTACTTCAGGTAGCATTATACCTCCTAGAGTTACCACGAAATGCTCGACCTTTTGACTTGTTCACCAAACTAAGACCAGACCTGTAATCCTCTTTTCCTAGAGGAGAAATTACACAGATCTATAGAACAAATTCGAGCGACTGCCTCAACACATTATGTTCGTTTGTATATGCTTGGAATCTAATTCGCTAACCGGTTGAGACAAGGGCACAAACTTTATCTAGAACCGTTATCTATTAAATTCTAAAAATCATAAGGTCCTTTGGTGTTACTATACCTCATTTCAGAATATTTTGAAGGAACTTTTAGAAAGAAAAAAGGAAAGTGGAAACAGACCTCCATCTTATACTTCCCATTGATGCCCTCTAAAGCTGCAACAGCTTGCTCTCTTGTCTCAAACTTTAAAAAGGCACAACCTGCTATAACAAATGAAGAGAAAAACAAAAAAATGGAGAGAGAGAAAGAGAGAGAAGAAGAAGATCATATGAGATTTTCTTTTAAGCCAAAAATTCTAGAAAGCTACAGATGAGTGTGACCAACAGAACCCAAGACAGTAAGCCATAGTAAAAGAGAAAAAAAAAGGGCGAAGGGCATACCTTTGCTTGTTTGTTGGGAACCTCTTAAGATTTGCAAATCTTTAATATTTCCATATTTGGAAAATATAGCAGATACCTCTGAATCCAAAACATTCTTTGGCAGCATGCCAATGAAAAGCTTATGTTCTGGAAATATCCAGAAGAAAAAACGAAAGACATGATTTATGAATTAATCATGAATCACAAATTTATATAATGAAGTTGGCATGTAAAGAAGACAATAAACAAGTACATCAAATAAAAAACAACATATACTCAAGAACCCACTTTTTTTTGGAGTGGTGACAACATGCTCAAGAACCTTCACATTAACAAAAGGAGGAGGAAAAGGAGGAAAAAATTTCTCAAAAAAAAAAAAGGTACAAAATTCAACAACAGAACATTACAGCTAAAGTGGGGAATGGGATTAAGAGTATTAATAAGTGCATAATGCCGCACCTAGTCTTTCCAACTCCCCATCCGCGTACTTTACTTGCAATGGACTGGAAGCCTGAAAAGGAAAATGCAAGTTGTTCCAAAATTACTATTTTGCTCATTCACTAAGACACAAGTCAACCAATCAAATTAATGCGGATGAAATTAGGGTACCTCTAGTGCATTAGTTGTGTTAATGCCAAGAATTATCATAAGAAAATAGTATTTATAGCAGAGACAAAGTAAAGACAAAATTTATTCGATAAAAGTCATAAACAAAAAGGTAACGGCAGAAAAATATTACAAAAGATCATATATGACTCTTCCTGAAGAGAGTGTTCATGTATGCATGAGCAGCATGCAGGAGTACCAGTGCATAATCGACCGTTAACTAAGGGAATTGAACAATCAGACTTCAGGTTAAGATAAAGGTCAGTCTTGAATAAGAAAACTCGATATTGGAGTTCTAGGTATCTGGTAAACTAATTAATAAGCTTATTGTCACCAACAAAACCTAGGCCTTGCCCATTCAATCCATTTTCTTCAAATCCTAAACGGTTCTTCCATAAGCAAACTCAATTGAGAAGGCTCATCCATCCAAAACGACTCTTGCATAAGCAAACTTGCTGTTGGAGTTCTAGTGGGATCTAGTAACATAATTGAGAAACTCATTTTCGACAACATGCCTAGTTCATTCAATCCATTTTCTCCCAAATTCCATCTCACCAAACATATAGACAGACCCCGATCCAAACAGAGCCTTGGATAATGCCACTTTGTCACAAAAATGCATTTCCTTTATTGTCTTAAGGAACTTCGAAAGTTAGATTCACAAAAATGCATTTCCTTTATTGTCTTAAGTAACTTCAAAAGTTAGATTCAAAGGATATGTTAATGATTGATTAAGAAATCATTTGTAATGAAAATTTCACTCAAAGGAAAATTCTTTTAGTTATATTTTAATTGCCTTTATAGTTATAATCAGTCAATTAACAGCATGGTACTCAATGAGATAATATAGGAGATCTGAAAGCATACCCCTGGAAGTGTACGCTTATTATGACATGCATTAACTGCCTTGTCAGCTTCCTGTCTGGATGGACAAATGAGAAAGCAGCATCCTAAAAAAAAAGCAGCATAGTTAACAAAAATTAGGACAGAATAGGAAAGAAAACCAAATTCACGACTTACACATTCCCCAACAATACTCCTTATATAACTTATGAAACCACCACTGATTGTAAGTTTCTTAAGAATGGAAAAAGGTTTGTACAAACTTTTCAAAAATACACTAAGGTGCATAGGTCAGAAAGTAATTTCCCAAGTTCCTGTGCTTAAGCAGAATTCACCAAAATGTGGTTTAGTACATAGTGTGTTTGCAACGCTTTTTCTTATTCTTTGGTGTCAGTAAGCATGAATATATTTGTAAATAGGTCATGTCAGTGGTAACTTACAAGATATATTTTGCTGATTAAAGAGATAACTGCCAGCAATATTAGTAAACAAAAGACATAATGACATAATACTTTTTCTTACTTTTTCTTATAATTCATCATCATTATCCAAGCGTCTCAACTAATCGGGGTCACCTTCATGAAACAGATGTGAAAAAAGCTGTATGATGGCTGCTAACCTAACACAACCCTTCTCCTTTCTCCAGGCTTGGGGGGGCCGGCCATGATAGAGAATACTTTTTCTTATCATTAACAGAAAAAATCTATCGTTAAATAGAACGACAAAGAATCAACCAGAAAAAAAAAGAAAAGAAACGAGATGCCGAGAAAACATCTCAGGATTCCAACATTGAAATTGTATCGACATAATTCTCCAAGAACCCTTTAATTGACAAGGGTATCAGCCTCTTGTTAGCTCCCCTAAGAATGTGCATAAAAATCACATTCTAGTGTCCCAAATAACAAATATCTCACCAAAATCATAGCCAACCTCCACGGAATAGAGGATTCTTTAGAGGCCCATATTATGACGTTGAGACAATCCGCTTCTACAACTGATTTCCTCAATGAAAAGGACAGAACTGTGTAATGTTATATTTCCTATTAATTTGAAGAATTCCAGCTATGCTCCAACTCAACCATAAGCATTCAAATTCCCGAAACATAGATTTTATAAACATCCAATTCCATGTTTTAGCACTGACATTGATTATTGCCTTGACAGAACCATTTCTGGACCTCATTGACCACACAAAATTCCCTAAAACACAATTCAAAAAAATAGGACAAGAAAAACCTACAAAATGTTAGGAGAAAATAACATGAAGTAATTTCCATCATAATTAATCGCAAATAATTTCAATAATAATTTTTCAAGTAGATAATTAAAAATGGAAAAGAGGGAAAAAGGTTCAAGATATTAAGCTAATAGGTACAAAACCACAGAAATTTAAGCAAAAGTCAGTTTTCCATGTAGTTTTGAGGGACAAAACCGGAAAGGAAAAACCTAATTGAGACAATCCAAACCCACATTGACTTAACCCTAGTTTCCTGTAACAAACCCATCTCTATATAAAAAATCATCAAGAAAGCAACAATATAAAGTAATGGCTCATTTCCTTAAATAATCACACTACTGAACGAAAAAAAAAAAATTGCATAAAATGGGCGAACTAATGCCATCAATCGAATCAGATATCTAGAGAGATCAAAAGGGAATAAACATGCAGATTAAAAACACGAAAGGGAAGAGATCTAGGGTTTATTCACCTCTTGAAGCTTTTGTGACCTTGTCTTTGATTATGTTGACCTCATCTACCAAGGCCACCTCCTTAAACATAGAAAGAAGCTGAGCTTCTGACATATGCTTCGGCACTTGCCCTACAAAGAGCTTCACGCTCTCTGATGACGATTTTGCCTCGCCTTCTTCCGCCATTAATGGTGATTTCGAAGCTTTTTTCTGGTTCTTGCTCCTCTCTGGTTTGCCCCGGTAATCGCACAGAATTAGGGGTACTTGTTAATTTACGCCTTGTTTTTCAGAGAAAATTTTCATTTTTTAAATAAATGAAATTTATTTTGGTCCTTGTGTATCGCTTTTGGGCCCCACGATCCAGACTGTTCTAGCCAATCAGAGACAGCTCTCTCCAGCTCACTTACGTGGGCCCACTTCACACGTCGATAAACTTTTACACGTCTGGAGATAGCATGGTGTTGTGTGGGGTTTTCAGATAATAATTAATTCACAATGTACATTACTCCCGCGGCTACACCCAGGTCAACAAATATTTTGACGGCATGAAAACTTTTGATTATAAACTTATAAAATTAAAATTAAGGAAATTTTATCAAAGAGATGGTTTACCATGAGACCATCTATCACATTGTTACAAGGAGGCGGAATCACCCCAAGCCATTAGATGTGCCTCGAGGTGTATCATAAAGTTCGAGATTTTGAATGCCTCGAGGTGTATCGTAAAGTTTGAGATTTTGTTTGAGGCTCTTTTTTTTTTTTTTTTATGTTTTTTTAACTTTAAATCTAGTCAATGACGTATTTACAATCACTTTATTTATATTTTGACGTAGACAATTGCCCATGATACTAAAAGTAAATGGGTTCTTTGTACAACTTTTTCCCTACCTTTATCCAGAAGCATATAATTGATGAAGTATTTGATATTTTTAGTTAAGTTTGTATTTAATTTCAAAAAGTCCATCAAAATACACATGTTCATGAGGTGGTTTAGTTTAAAGATAGTAAAACATTAAATAGTTGATAAGTTAGAGTAAAATATTAAATAGTGGATAAGTTATATGCATTTTGATAAGTTTATTAGTAAAAGACCATAAGTTTATAATGTTGAGCAATGTTCTGCTTCCATTTGATCTGAAAAATGACTAAATTGGGTGCTTCGGTCGATTCGAGAGAAGGTAATTTTTTTATATTTTAAAATAAACAAAGACATATTTTAATATCATAAAAAATTAATAATATATCAAATAAATAAAATGGTTGGAATATTGTTTTGATAGTATTTTTTAATGCCTTTGGAGTTAAGAGCATGATAATAGTTCTTTCAATACTTTTTTTACTGACTGACTTTTTAGGCGTGTCATAGTTAGTAAGGTGAAGTGGGCTTATTGTGCTTCTCTTTTTATGTGTCAAAGTAGGTTCAGGTGATATTTTCCCTTTGTATTTCTTTGTATACGTGGCATTCATATTGCTTACTTATATAAAGTTTTAGTAGTAACAAACCAAGAATGCTCTTGAACTTCGATTCGCTTCGCTTCGTTTCGTTTCGTTGGTGAAACAAAACTCGAAGACTTGAGGTGCTTCACCTCAAGCGACATTGATGCTGATATTATTGACAACCCACCATCTGCGAGCACACAAGGATCGGTTAAACAAGCAGATGGTATTATACACACTGAAATCACCAAAATGGTATAGGATGAAGGTCAAAATTGAAGGATCCTTTTGATATATGAAAATGGACCTCCCGAGCAAAAACTATGAGTTTAGGACGTTGTCATAACATTGACCTATTACACAAATAACCAATAAGGAAAAATAGCCAAAGTTGACCATCATCAAAATATTTTTCTAACTAATTGGGATCAGCTATATGAGTTCAAAATCACCAAAGTTTAATATGAAAAGGTCCAAGACACTTCCAAAAATAAAAGGTATCCTGATACCAGTTGCTCAAGATATGGGTTTCTAAAGTTGAATGTCACTTACATTGCATAGAGCCCAAAAAGCGAGTTGACATGGGGCATAGCATTTTGGCATAACTCTAACATGTATCTCAATCGGTGATTAAAAAATCATTGATTCGACTAGGAACCGCTCGAGTTGAATTGAGACTAGCAACCACTTGGTCTTAGTCCGTACCTAAATCAGATCTCGAACCTAAGGGTGTATAAATAAAGATCTCGAACCTTAGGGTGCACAAATAATATTAAAAAATTGCTTCCTTATTATAAAACCAGTGTTTTTAGGATGATATGAAGTTCCTAATCTTCTTTGAACATTTTAAAGCTTTTAAATGTTGTTTAATTATTTTGCTTTTTTTAAAAAAAAAATATGCCCAAGTGGAGGCCAATTTGACTCAAACTTGGTGAGTGATCGGTTCAACTTACTTTGTTCAAATTTTTAAACATTTATCTCAATAAATAAAGTTCATATTTGTCCAATTCTATTACATGCGATTGTAATTTACTTTTGTACAAAAAGGTCACAAATGACCTGGCCATTAGATATGAACTTGGACAACTTAAAATGTGTCCCATCGTTAGGGAAATTATAGTTTGGCATTTATACCCAGCCAACGATACACCAGCTAACCAATTTTACATCGAATGACCAATAATAATTGTGATTCCCTTGTACAAAATAAATGATCTTATTGTATACATTTATTTTTTATATATATATCGAAACTTTACGAATGGTTTGTAAAAAAAAAAGTGGTTTGGTGTGGCCGCACATCACTTGGCTATTTTCCAATGAGTGGGACCCAAAAAGCTTTGAAATAATTCTCTTGGGAAGGAGTAGTTTTTGGAATCCAAAACTACTCCCTTAACATCCTAAAAATTTGATCATTTGACTGTCAATCGAATTTAAAGCACGAGCACCAAATCAAGAGGAATTCATATATATATCCTACATTGTCCTCAAGTAAAAGGTTCCCTTTCAAAGTTTAATATCATGTTCGTTCTTTTGATTTCTTTATTTTTTCCAAATTCCCCTTCATTCGATAAAGTCCAAAGTTTACAACTTCGGACTTTCAAAATCAAAAGTTATTTTTTTCACCATTAGACCTTCAAGGTCCAAATGAGACTTTAAAAGTCCTAAGTTGCCCTTATTTCAAACCTTGAAGGTCCGAAATTTTAGAACCTCTAACCTTCAGAATTTGAAAGATTTTTTCGCCCCCCCCTCAATAGGAGACATTCAAGGAAAAGCTCATGACCTTGGGGTTTTCGAGGTTTGAAATAGGTTTGTATTGGGGAAAAAAACCTTCTTAAAGGTCCTAGGAAGGCAATTGGAGGAAAAACACCCCAAAAATTAGTTATACTTGCAACATTAGAGGGATTTTTTAAGGAGAATAAATGCATAAATTTTTCAATTTTTTTGAATAAGTATAGAATATCTTTGATACAAGTTTATAATTGTTCTATCCAAAATGAGATAGTTAGGAATGTGCTATTGACCAAGTTCAAGTTCAAAAGAATTTTAATCTTTACAACTTATCTATGCCCCTGGTAAAAACCCACAACTATGCAACCCCTCTCCTCGCTTCACCTCATTCTCCCAATCTACCCATGGAAAAAACCCACAACCATGAAATCCCAATCCTTCTCTCCCTCTGCCCTGCTCTCTCGAACCACGAAATCCCAATCCCTCTCTCCCTCTTCCCTGCTCTCTCTCTCGAACATTAACGGTTAGTAGTGCATTAGCAATTTTTGAAACCATTAGAAGCTTTCGAAAGGGATTAGCATTAGTAGAAATGAGAACCGAGGTCGGTAACCAAGTCACAGGTCGTGCTACCACCTCGACTTCAACTCTCTCTCTCTGCGCACGCACAATGGGGCCCTTTACTGATGCCCAGTCAATTTCTGCGTAGAATGGGCCCCTTAGGGATGGCCTCTTGGAGAAAATACTGGCAAGCAAAACATGGATGGACCATCTATTAACCAATAAGTCTATTCACTCCACACTCCATTCAGAAGTGCATTAGCAAATAGCTTGGTCCACTCCATTATTCAAGGATACAAGCCTTCTTATCCTGCTTACAGGCCAGCAAAATGCTCATAACTCCATGAACAAAATCTTTTAATCCACATATTTTGGAATGGATCCATTCTTGTTGGGTCATCCATTCTTTAATGGAGTTGTGTTTTACAATTTGAATAAAAATTGAAAACCTTAACCATGACCTCCTTTTTTCCGGCCTGTATATTCGGAATAGGATATACTGATCAAATTGCCTTCATTCCAGCCAGTTCTCTCAGCTTCTCATACACAAGAAAAGTGATGGTGGTTTGCGGACCAAGCCTTGCAAAGGTGGTGAAACCCCTGGTCATAAAAGTTATGAAGTCATAAAACAATGTCATGTGGACATATAAAAGAACCCTCACTCAAGCAAGCATGATGCAATTTCAACCTTACCATAACAAATAAATTAAAATGGGGATGCACAGCACCACAACATATTTGAAGAAAAATCGAAAGCCCCCATTACTCCCGAAAAAAGGGCACTTTATAATATCAAATGATTTTATATTTTAACACAACAGATAATTTTCTCATTTGAATAAGTTTCTTTTAGAAAAGGTCCAGTTACTAGTAGTGGCTGAAATGGATACAGACTAGCTAGGTTACAAGGCCAGTGAGCAAGTTAGTAGGAGCATCAGAGAGAGAGAGAGAGAGTTCCTTGTTGATTCATATTTAGATTTGGAAAGAAAGAAGAAGAAAACTTGTTCCCGGATAAAAGGCGGCAATTCCTCTCTGACTCCTATTCAAATTTGAAGTCTCCCCACTTCCAGTGACCACCTACTTTTCACGCCCCGAGGAGTCCATTTGTGCACCAAATTATGTGTGTTTGATAACACAAAGGAGTCCATTCGTGCACCCAATTATGTGTGTGTTGACCACCTAGTTTTCAAGGCCCGAGAAGACCATTCGCGCACCAAATTATGCGTGTGTTGATAACACAGGGACATCAGAACTTGATTCTATCTATGTTTCTTCATGGAGGATAATCTTACAAATCTAGGAGGCACATTTAACATCGATCAACAAAGGTCATATGAAAAGTCAATCAGATCTACACACACACATAGATGCACAATAGTATGAACATATGAACCTGCACAACGCATCTACAAACACCTGAAATGAACGCTATTACCACCAAACTAACATTTGATCAATGCACAATATTTCTTTGCACGAAAATCAAGTGCACAAATAATTTATGATATTCTTTGTAACTGCAGGACTCAAGAATATTCTTTTGTAATAGTAAAAATCATTTTATTAATTCTTGCAATAACCAAAGTTGGTTAAATCACCTTAAATTGAAAATTAAGTATCAAACCCTATCGATAAAAGTAAATCCTGGTAAAAGGAAAATACCTATATTACAATTAATACTGGAATCGGGCTTGGGTTGAGCAGTAGCAGCTGATGTTTAGCAGTGCTACATCTCAAGTTCGATTCCTACCACGGAATTACCCAAAAAAATAGTACAATTAATACTACATAAAAGAAATAACATGGCCATGATGTTCGAAGGCATTACGTCTAATATGAACAAATGCAAGAATTGGAAATGAATGATAATCTCATTGGAGTGAAAGGAGAGATTAATTTCCTTATTTACGAGAAAATGCACAATAAAACTTCAGTTCAACCTTATGCATCATAATACAGCCAAACCACATAAAATGGAGATGTAGCTCACCAGCATGACTCTAAGGCACTACATCTAAAATACAAATTACCCATGAAAAATCTTATGGAATTTAATTCATATTTCATGCTATTAAGGAAATCTTTGAAGCCATCTCTACGTGATTGCTTCTCCAGAGATTCCTCAATTGACCTTTCCCCATGGTATTCTTTGTTTGCTAACAATCCCACCTCCATCACCTATTTATAATATGTAAAAATATTTGTGCATCAAGACAAGAATGTAAATCTCTGCCAAGGGAAGAGATACTCACCCCTTGTATAGAGCTCGGGGGCCTTCAGTTACCACCACCTAACACCAGAAATGAAAAATTAATATGAAAAATCCGTGGTAAAGTCCTTTGATGTTTGGTAAGTAAGGCCACAAATAAATAACTAATCTGTAGTTTTCTTTTTAAAAAATTGGGTAGCTATTCAATAGTTAATGCAGTCATAAGAAAATCAACGGTAAGGTCTTTTTCCCCTTTCTGATTGAATAACAAGTCGTCAGTAACGAAAAGTACCTTCATCTAGAGCATGAATAAACATGAGGAATTATTCTAACAGAAATGTGAACAATGATGAGGTGCTTTTAACTTTTATTTTTCTGCAAGAAATCCAAGTAATAATGAAGGAAGATAAGAGCGAAACGGTGCACCTTCAAGAAGTAATGAAAAGGGAGAAAAATAATAATAATAATAATAATAAGAGGCTCTACATGTAAGAAGCTTAAAAAAGGAAACTCCTACGAGCCTCTAATGGTGTAAGAAGAAATGATTGATATTTTAGTATAGAAGGCTTGGGTGCCTAGTTTAGCAAGAAGCAAAAGAAAATAATGGAAATAAATTTTTAAAATAGTCCCCAAATAGTACAAAGTACAAGAACCCACATTAGCTAACACCAATTACCTGATAAGCACAGTGAAATCCATTTCTATAATTCCCGAGTTTCTTAGATTCTCTTTGCATCATGAGACGAGTTTTAACCATATCCATGGGTGCAGTTACCAGGGTCCCCATTGTACCTGCTATGGCACTTGAACTTCATTTACATGGGTATGCATCAAAGTTAGTAATTCAGAAAGAAAATACAATTCAAATCATTTGGCAGATTAAGCAGCTTATAAGTAATTATTTAGTAAGAGAGCCACACAAGAAAGATCAAGTGCTTTACTCAGAAATGTCCATTATACATGAGATGTAGATTAAATCCTTCTTTCAAAGATGTCCAATGCATCAAAGCCTGTATAACAGAGAGAAAATGTACCAGAACTTCGAATTCAAGTATTCTGTAACTAAGAAATTTCAGTATCCAAAGCTACAAGCATTAGCACTTTATATGGATTCCCAATAAACAAACATGCATGAGTATACTATACTCCAAGGAGCTATAGCTTATCATAGTCCATGGGGTTCTCACTGAGAAATGACATGATGAACAGGTAGGGGGCTATCAGAGCAGGACATGACTCCAAATGTGGTTCACACTCACTCTCCATCATTTCATGAAGCAGTGATGACCCTAATGGACACTGGAGGATATAATCCATTAAATTATAGTATAATTCCCTAAACTAAATTGAGGATAATGCAAGGCGTAAGATACATCATAGTCAGAGAACCTGCTTGGACTCATCATATGTTGCTAATTGTGATGCAGTCAAGGCAGCAGCCCTGGCCATTGCAGGGCCCACACCCTTCCATAGTGCTATAATTCCCTCATCTGACATGATCTTTTGCATTTCTCTTAATACTTTTGTCTTTCCCAAATTTGAGTTCATTTGTAAACGCACCTATTGGAATCAACCATTTTGAGTTAAAGTCTAAGAATTAAGAATAGCTGAGGCACTACCTCAAAATCCAAGCACAACATAACAACAATTTCCTTTTATTTGATTAATAAACAAGATGCAAGTGAATCTATTATCTACTATGCTAACATACCAATCTAACAAACCTTCAAAACTTCTGTTGGATTCGTTAATGCACTTGCAATAGCACCAGAGAATGCTCCCGATGCAATTTTCACCAAAATATTAGTGGATCCAAGAGTTAAGTTGCAGAAATACTTGCAAGGCTCATACAAACCTACACGAAGGCCTCCATACAAAAGAGATCTAGTAAGTGCAGGGGTAAGTCCCAAATATAGAGCTTGAGGTCCTTCGATTTTCACTATCTGGGCGAAAATCTTTCCCTGCGAAATGCATTAATTTAAAATTACTTCCATTGGGTAACTAGCAAGTTCAAACTAAAGCAACCATATAACATAATGACACCAGCAAAAGCAACAAGAAAATACCATTCCAGTCAAGGGACCTTTCTGACCAACTAGCTGCATTTGTAGTCTGACTTTGATGACATCTGCAGCCAAAGCATTGTAACGATAAAATTTGAAACTATTCATGGAATAATAGGATTCACAAGAGACATTTATAAAATTTCCATAAAATTTGAGACAAACAGCTTCCAGAGAAGCTTCTGATGACCAAATATAAACATTCTTTAACCTAAACAAATAGCAAACACAGGTACAGATATCTCTTGAACTGAATAGATGCAATAGGATACTGCGCAAGTACTAAAATAAAGCATCTGGGTACCTATCACTCCAAAATCTAGAAGCAAGCAGATGTATAAGAAAATAAAAAAAATAAAATTTCGTGTCCTAATTGCTCGGATGCCAATGTTAAAAATAAGGTTGGAAGGGAAACTCATGAAAGAAGCTCGAGTTGATGGTTGTACTCATTTAGTGCAATCCATGCCACCAAACACAAACTAATAGGGTAAAATTACTTGAAGCCATCTCTTGAGATCCAAGAGGATTAAATATAACGAGGAAATCAGAATTTGAAGTTGTGAAAATTTTCCTCTAATTTCGGAAAAGGCCCAGTTTCAGGGTTCAATTGCTCACAAAACTTCAACCCCAAATAATGCAACATATCACTCACTAATTCTCACAATCTCCTAGTTAATTTCAAATAATTAGGATTCATAGAGGACCCATCCAAGTGCCTATGTAAACACCAATAGTGAACAATGACATTGCACAGCCAAATCTTGAAAGAAAAAGGCACAACCCAAAAACTGAAGAGTAAATGGGTGCTCAATGAAAGATTCTATTACACTTACAAAGAACCAGAAAGCCCGCCTCAAATTCAAATTCCCCATAACCCCAAAAGCAAAAATGATGGTCTATCAAGAGAAAAAGTGACGAACCCAAAGGGTGTGTAACCCCAGTAGCAGCGGTGACCGATATTCCACTAGTCGAGAAGTGATTGAAAATATGTCTTAATGAAACAGAATGGCTCCCCTTTCCATTGTCATCCTTGCAGGGAGGCCCTATAAACAAAAGCAATCACAAGTAATTTTCACCATTGTGCAGTAAAAATCCATCCTCAAAAGGCATGATTTATTACGTTAATATAGGCTCTCAAGCTGAGGCAGAAGGTGAATATCAAAGAGCGGTATCTCTAATAATAATTGAACTTTAGATTCATAAAGGAAGTTCAGAAAGTCGTATCTCTCTCTGAAAATTTCATGTCTGATAAAATATAGCTACGTAGAAGGCTTGATTCTTAGCTCCTAAGCATAAAAAAAAAAACAAATTTTGATATCAAATTTAATTTTATGCAGTGGGAATCTTTAATCAAAAGATGTTCACTGTGGGTTTCTGAGATTTCGTCTATAATGGGCCTCATTCTCATGATACAAGCTAAAATCATCAATTATTCAAATTTGGTTGCAATGAAAAGGAAAAGCTACTCACATGAAAGTTATATGAATAGAGAGAGACATGAAAGTAAGAGAGTGAGAGTGAGAGAGAGAGACAGAGAGAGATGGGTTATTGAATGGTACCCGAGGTTGGAGCTGGTTGAGAGAGGTTGGCCATCCCATATCGTTCCTCCCTCCTCTCACTATTTGTAACTGCGCTACGCTCCATCCCTAGTCTATTTTTGAAGCTATGGTCCAGCGGGGATAAACTGTGTACTTACTCCTGCGGATAAACTTGGCCGAAATGTCAATGGGAAATCTTGGTTATTCTTTCAAAAAATTAATTTGAAAATTAATCATGAGCATTGTTGGGATACTTTGGATATTCTATTTGTTTTTGTTATTATTTTTTTCTTTTTGCATGTACAGGATGGTAAAAAGCATGAGGATGAAGATTTGAGCTTCTATCAAGTATATAAAAAATAAAATACAATATACGCTCTCAATAAGTAGGACTTGTACATAAAATACAAAAAATTAGCCATTTTTAAATGAAAAAGATTTCTATACTTCCTCTACTACTCCATCCAGCCATCCAATTTAGATCAAATAAGTCATTGATCGTTTGATTTAGATATGATGTTTGAGAGTATTTTATTTTTAGTTTTTATTCTACAAGTTATATGAATATAATCTAGATCGGATGCCTTAGAGTATTTTATTTTTAGTTTTTATTCTACAAAATCTATGAATATAAAATTTGATATGTGCCACCATCTTAATAGGCAAACCTAGATAAATATTTCTAATAAAATAAAATAACGAAAAACAACCCTAAAACTTTTAAAGGTATTTTGATCATTTTATTTTATCAAAATCTTTGTGCCCAAAATTTGGTGTCACAATATTTTGTAGAAAAAAACTTAAAATAAAAGAGTGTAGAAGAGTGACATTGTAATTGAATCTATCTCTTCATTCAGATCTAGGGGATGTATAGAAAACTTGCCTTATAAGTTGTTTTTTGGAATTGATTTGTTAAAAGTTCTTTAAAAAATTCCTTAAAAATTCCCCAAAAAAGAAAAAACTCATTTTATAGTGGGAATTTAAAAAAGGGTGTGGTTTCTATAAGATTGCAACCTTAAACAATCCAATTAAGGTGCACCATAAAATTTTATCATAACATATAATTTTGCTGTAAAAAATTCTTAGTATTATCTTAAAATCTATTTTTATACCTAATTAGATAATTTTAAATTCCAAAAATGGTAAAAATCAAGTAGATCTATAAATATATGAAAATCTTGAAAATTGACAGTCTAGATAATGTGTTACTATTTTCAAGATTCAAAAACTTAATTTTTTTCATCTTCATAGATCTTGAAGTCTAGATGATTCATTAGAGGGCTTTTTCAACATTAAAACGACATTTCTAATAGATTTTGAGGTACATATGTGATTCTACATTCTAAGGTTGCAACCTTATATAAGCTTTTCAGTTTAAAAAAAAAACAAGCTTTCTATACTTCCCCAGTAGCTATGTACTTCCCCTTATCAAAGAAATTCCTCAAAAATTCGAACATTATAGTAGTCTCCATAGGTAGTAAAAGATATCGACATCTATGGCTATGAGGCCTTACTTGTCTTAGCCTAGGAAATTCCATATATCCAACGGTCATATCCATATAAACGTAACTCTTCAGGAACCCGTTGGAGATCAAGGAACCCTTTCGCTTTCTCAAAAACCCACTGGATAAATACAATGGTTACCCTTTTTTGATATCGGGTTTGATCTTATACGAACTTCATAAATTTTTACCAACAACAATGATATCAACCTAGAATATCAGATCCGTTGTTATATGGTAGAGTTCATTTGCGAGAAATAAGATTTGGTGGTGCCCAACCTAGAAGAGCTGAAAGAATGGTCATCACAATTAGAGAACCAAGGCATCCGGCCAAGACTAGCCTTCTCGGATGACGCATTGCCCAAGATAGCTGCTGTAAAAAACGTCTTGTCCCCGATCTTAGAGAGCACTATCTTGAGAATTTTCCGGTCAATTTTCTGTTCACGAACGGGGGTGTACAGCCTTGTCTTGTACGGCTCCAACGAGTTTTATGGAGGGCTCTCTGTCTCTGCTCTTCCTCCCCTGTGTGACCAATAAAAAGCGACGTTTGTCTCTCATTAAAGAGTCAGTAGATATTCCAATTCTTATAGAATAGATCCTCTCCAATATAATTGAAGATACCGTATAAGGAACAGCAGATGACCCTACCAAAAATAGGCGGTATTTTTTATATAGATTAAAACAATCTTCAAGATATATAAACTTAATATTTTATGATGCCATCCTATAGATGGGATATGAAGTAAATAGATTGGATCATTGTGTGTACATCAGTAAATTCACAATATTTTTATTATATGCATATGATATCTTAATAGCTGGAAATGACTTAGAAATGATTAATAAGACTAAGTTATGGCTTTCTTCTTGATTTGAACGGAAGGATATGGCAGAAGCATCTTATATCCTAAGCATAAAAATAACTAGAGCTAAAAAATAAAAAAATATTGTACTTGAGCCAAAAGAGATATCTTGATTTTTTTCTCAAAAGATTTAAAATATAAATTTGTATGCCATTGTTTACTTCCATTGAAAATGAAGTAAAGCTGTTTAGGAAGGATTGTCCAACAGAATGATAAAAAAAACCTAACGTTCCCTATGCACAAGCTATTGATAGCTTGGTATATATACTAAAAAACCTAACGTTCTTTATGTACAAGCTATTGATAGATTGGTATATACACTATGATGTATAAGGCCAAATTTGAATTATGTCGTAGGACTTATAAGGCCAAATTTATACACGCTTCATAAATTTATACCAACAAAAGAATCAGGAACATTATGGTTTTCCCTGGACATATTACCTGGTGGTCCCCTGATGGTGTAGCTTCTAGTTGAAGGAGCACAAGGAATTCATGGAATTAGTGCCTCTTCCTCTAACTACTACTAAAGCTCTTCTTGATGCGCTTGACCATTGCTGTAGAATTACCTTAAATGTCAAGAGCATTGCAGTCAAAGTCGGAAGATAACTTGATACCAGCCAATGCGCCAAGAGCTTCAACAGAGGCAGCCACAAAGTTGATGTCGTGGTCTCGGATTAGCAGACACAGCCAATCTCTCTCCTAATTCAGCTCGTAGACTGTAAGCTTCCTTAGCAGACACAGTCAATCTCTCTCCTAATTCAGCTCGTAGTGTGTAGGCTTCCAAATGGCAGGAAGTCCGAAAGGATCATCGGCGTGTTACGATGCAACGATCCCTTGTATCTTCCACAGAACCACAGAGATGGAGGCAACATTACAATTCAACCAATCAACTTCTAGATTTCTACAAAAGAGCTGAACACCAGACATGGATGTCCAGGCAAAAGGAGGCTTCAAGTCCACATCCCATGTGGATCATAGCACCTTTCTTTGGGGCATATTTGGATGTATTCACTATCACTGGTAATTCACTGTTTCGATAAAATTAATTTTAAAATGTTCATTATAAAGTTATCTGAAATAAACTTTTAGACAGTTTTACGTTACGTTTATCTTTTTGTAAAACTGCTTTTACTCCAATCAAAGTACTTTCCTGAAAATCACAAGTTTTTAGCTGAAAATAACTGAAAATCACCAAAAGAAATTAATCCCCTTGCTATTCCCCTTCCAGTCCAAAGCCAACCACTGTGAGAATGCGTAGCTAAGAATGAGGTGCCAATTGATGTATGCAGCTTCTGCGGATTGCGACGTACCACAGGGAACACTTGATAATGAAGAATCTGCCAACCTAATTTGGCTAACCCACCACCTTACTATAAGCGAGTCTTCTCAGATTGAGCCATCCTTCACCCAAAGGCTTACACACTTTGTTGACAGGGAATGAACTTGCAGAAGGAGCAAAACTCTTCATAGTAATACTAAATTTGTATAGAATACGTCTTATTATGTAAAAATGGAATGATTTCGGTTAAAGAGACCTTTCTCTTAGAATCTATTCGATGGGACTTGCTGCATAAAAATGAAATGATTTATGTTAAAAGTGTCCTTTCTCGTAAGATCAATTTATGTAAAATGCATATGGTTGTTTACAATGAAAAGGCCTATATCATTTAGTAAGTTCACATGTTCATTAAACCCAATTTCTGTGAAAATTCGGTGGAGTCACTTTATTCCGTCGCTCTCCGTTTAATTTTGAGATTTTTCAGGCACAAAAGGCAGGCTTGCATTCTTGAAAACGAGAATAACACCTTTGATCAAAAAAAATGAAATATTGACATAATTCATATTATTAATTACATATCTCTGAGATCATGATGAATAATTGTATGAAAGCCATATGTTCGACAAGAAAAAGTTTTGAACTGCTCATAAAGAGTTGTTTTCATTGAATCCCCTGATGTAGCATAAATGATGGCGTTCATACGCCTCTTTTTTCCTAGAAAAGTAACAAGTGAGTCGGCCCACATGCATCCTCCCTGGTTTTCAAGGGATTTCGGATTTTAAACCCATACCGAGTTGACGCAGACTCATTTTGGACTCAAGTCCACGAATTTTCAGCTCCAAAGACAGTGTATCCAATGATCTTTGAATAATTATACAGTCCAAGAAATTTTTCCAAATTATTTTGCTTTTGAGGCCCAAAATTAATTAACTTTTTCTTTTTAAGATTCATAATCATGTTGGTTTAGATGATAGACCTTCAAATTTTGGATCCAAAATCCATCTTGGATCAATTTCGAAGATGAATACGTAACACATTTGCCTCAAAAATAAAGAAAACCTTGATAACATTGCGGCTAGCACATATCTGGTTATAAAGTTCAGAAATCGCAGAACCTGAAAAATAACCAAAACGGCCAAGTGCAAAAAATTGGTACCTATTAAAAATGATTTACAAGTGATAAAATTACTCCAATACCATCCCAAAGTAAGGCGCCATTACATGCCCCTATTTGGATGGCATGAACTCCATTTAAGGGAGTTGTTTATAAAAATGTGAATGCCAAACAATTTTTAGGGAAATTTATGAAAAAAATCGCATTTTATTTTCAAATTAGTCTAATATATTTTATATTTTACATTCAAGTCTCTTTGAGAGTTTATATAGTATTTTAATTTTATTTCCTTTTCTATACATTGAATTGAGTTCAAATTTGGAGACTTGATAACTCTCACCATCTCACATTTGGCAAAAGAATATATAAAGAAAACTCTATTAAAATGACCAAAGTAAACCTAAACTTTGACATTTATGGAGATATTTTGATCATTTTTATTAGCTTTCTGTTTTTTTAAAGATTTCATACAAATGCATTAGAATTAGATATGGAAGCCCAACATTTGAGCTTAATCAGATATATAGAAAGGAAAATAAAATTAGAGTATACTATTGACTACAAAAGGACTTTAGTGTAAAACACAAAATATACATGACTATTTTTTAATTTCAAAAATAAAAATTTCTATCAATTTCCATTTTATTTTTGCATATTACTTTATGGACATTTTGGCTGCATTTCATTAACAAACAAGGTGTGGTTTGCATGAGGTTGCCATGTTAAACAATCAAAGTAAGGTACACCTTTAAATTTTATCATAAGAGGTAAGTTAAAAATTCCTAGGATGGCCTGAAAATCCATTTCCATCTCTAATTATAAAATTTTAAACTCCAAAAATAATTCAAATCAAATAGATCTATAAGCATATCAAAATCTTGAAAATGAATGGTACAAATAATGTATTGCATGATGCACTATTTTAGAACTCAAAATCTTCTTCTTTTTTTTTCATATTTATATATCTCAATGACAAAATGGTCAATTACAAGGTTTTCCAACATCAAAACAACCTTTTTCAATAGATTTTTGAAGTCCACCTTAAATTCTACATTTTAAGGTTGCAACCTTATATAAATTTTTTCCTTACTAGAAAGGACTTCTCCTGACTAACTTATGCGTTCTTCAATACGAAATGGACGAAAAAACAGGACCATCATTATTAATGGTCCCCAAATAGGGGCTTGGGTTCTAAATAAGAGTCTTACAATTAATAGAGGACCTGCTCTTTTAAGTCAATATTAAAGCAAAATCAAATGCTTACAAAATTGAGAGAGAGTCAATCTTGATGCCTAAGACACTGAACAGCAGAATCCAATCCTATTTCCAGAAGACAAACTTCATAGCAAGTGTTCTCATTGTAGACATCCCAGTCAATAACATAAACCTGTTAAGGCGTGCTCTCTCTCTCTCTCTCTCTCTCTCACACACACACAGGCACAAATTGATAGCAATCACCAACTTCATGTACTCACAATCCGTAAAATCAATCATCACATTTACAAATCCAATGGCTGTACAGCGAGCGCTCAAAAGGGCCATTCTCCTTTCTCAAAAGAGCATTCACACAAAGTAACAAAACCTTTTAACTCAAAAACAGGAAGCTTGGTTGTCAATTAACTGGAAGAAATGGCCCCGAATGAGCTGAGCACAGCTAACAGACCCAAGCAACTTGTATATCAGCCTGATGATTCAAGCTCAATGTCAGTGGTGTGGGCTTCAGCTCTCTCTCAAAATCAAGGAGGGGGTGGAGCACCACCTTGAGCACCTGGCGGGTGGGGCAAGATATTCCGACTCCTCATGAAGTTTACAAATTGCGCAGGCAGCTCCTCCAAGAGAGACTGAACAACTGAGATCTGCTGGCCTGGAGCTTTGAAAACCAGGTTGCACAAGAGTGAGCCAGAATATATAGAACATACAAAAGCACATGCACACCAACATATGGGCCTTTTCTATGTTTTGACTATTGCTTTTATCCAAATTCAGGGAGGAACCCTTCTTCTAAAATCATCAGGTGCGAGATATAAACCAATATATAAAGGAAAGCATACAAAGAGTCTATTTACTTTTAGTACAAGAGATCAAAATCAATCTTGTTTGTCAAATTTTAAATTAGACGTTTGTAAGTATGTCATTGACTAACTCAAGTTCAAAAAAAAAATTTCATACTTCGTGACACACCCCAAGCCATCTAAATTTGACAAGTAAGGGCTAAGAATGATTGTGACCTCCTTGTAAAATAGTAAATAGTCTCATAGTAGAGAGAGAGAGAGATAGAGAGAGAATTTACTTCTTGATAAACAACCCTCAAACAATTCAGCCTAAGTGGTGACCTGTTTTGATGAAATTATCCCCAACGATGGGAAAAGAGAAATCTAAATGCCTTTACATTCTCAAAAGAGGTCTGGCAGGTAGGTGGTCAGAGATCCAAAGGTGCAATGATAATTTTTGAATGAGATATGGGAAAATACATCATAAATAATCCATATATGGAGATGTATACATCATAAGGACGTCAATTGACTGATTTGTTGCCCGCTGATAGGCTACCAGTTTGATTCGATCTCATTACTATCGCATCCTGATTAATCCAATTGAACAGCTGATAACTAGGAAGTCTTATAATTTTGCCTACAAGACTTGTGAATAGTGTAATTCCCCTGGGATATCGTGCCACCCCACAATCCATGAGAAATTGATTAATTTTGTGTTAGGACTGGAGCACGGCAGTTTTAGGTGTTTTTTACATTCCCTTTAATATAATGTTCTTATCAGAGAGTTAAAGAAGTGGGATTCAAAAACAACTTACCATGCACTTCTCGGAATGGAACAAACTGTACAATATCACGAGTAGCTATTCTCCCCGTGGTACTCTGTAGTAATTCTCCTTTATCCGCATCTAAGATCTGTTCCAGAAATATCACCATATCACATCCAAATTCTAAAATTTCCCAGTTAAGAATAATTCCACAAATTGGATATAATCATATAATCAAAACAAAGACCTTTGATCTTCTTTAACTAAAGGAACAGTGAGTTGTTTATGGTAAATGGCAAACTACAGTCGCATCGAGCGTTCATTCATGATGATGGATATTTGTGTGGATTTTGTTAATCTCCAATATTCATCATTGGAAATGGACCGTGGATACCCCAAACTGTCCCATATAATATGCATAGGTGGTGTACTGCATACTTTCCAATAAAAATCCCTGTACATCTGATTCTAGGATGACAATGTGCTTTACAAGATCAAAGCAAAACTTGACAGGATGTTATCAACTCTGAAACTGCACTTGAGTCATTAACGGCAGTAGGTATTGATAACACAACATAAACACAAAGTCACATGGTAAACGAGTTAGGAAATGGTGACCCTTAGTTAACACGCAGTGCTTCTAAGCATCACAGATGCTTCACTTGTAACACTCTAGCCAACAGAACAGAAAACTTAATATCTATCCTAAGGATTATCACAAAGCAATCCATATTTTACAATATCATACACCTATTCAACCATGCATGATCAATAAAGGGACAGTAGAGGGCAAAGTGTACCTCCATTTCCTTGAAATCAGTCCCTCCAACTCCAACTATTATAATTGACAAAGGCAAGTCAGATGCCCTCACAATGGCATCCTTAGTCTCTTGGAGATCAGTAATAACCCCATCCTGAAGAAAAACTCACTATTATTTTGTTTAAAAGGAAAAATCTTACATTATTATATCAAGAAAGAAGCCTCAAGGAAATTCACTAATGACATATCAGGCACTTTACCGTAATTATAAGCAGGACAAAGTACTTCCTTTGATTAGAAAACAGTGACTGGTTAGCTCTTTCTGCTGCCTTATTGATCACATGCCCAAATAAAGTTGGTCCAGCAAGGGATACATTATGCAGAGCACTTGTGTAGGCTGTCATGATGCCATGTATCTCTTGAACCTGTAATGAGATTGTGAATGAGATAGAGAGAGAGAGAGAGAGAGAGAGAGAGAGAGAGAGAATACTCCATTGGAAATGAACAATGTTTTCTTTTTCTTTTGGGTGGGGGGTCAAAATATGTTTTTAGTTACAATACGTATGCAGTATAATACTGATGCATCGAATACTTAAGCTTGAAAAATCATAATCTTGCATTCTCATGACTTGATTGAAAGGTCCATTATGTGACAGACAAGAAGCAGCCAACGCTTAGTGAGGATTAATTCTTTGCATTACATACAGGACCAAAAGAAAGCGATAACCAGTATTTTAAAACTCGCCAAGCCCGTTTTGGCACTCAGGCGAGGCTTCTCAGACCAGGCACCTTGCTGGGTCCTAGTGAAAAACCTTGGGAACCAGCTGAGTCTCACTGGTTCCCAGTGTTTCTTTTTTGAATTTGTTAAGACAGCCAAATCTGACTTCGACATGGCTGTGTAGACCCCTCCAAGCAAAGCATTTCTCTTTGAAAGAAAGCATGCTTCAACAGTTCATACACACCATATTCCATCAGAACATATAACTACAGGGGCCTATTGGCAGCCAGTAAACAACCCAGCCATGCCACCTCTCAGGATGGGTCACCAAACTCAAAAAGGAAATGAAAGATATCCAATTAGTTGTTATTGTATTATTTATAGATGTCCCTAAGAGACTATGGACTCATGAAATCTACTCCACAAATACATCAGAAATGCAGCACAGACAGGGAATTCCCATGGAAACAACAAGGTATCCAACACAGCAGCCAGTAGAACCTTGGCTACATGTTTATGCATATCAACAGGAGTACGGGTGCATGCGTGTGTATACATACCTGTGTGTATGACCATGAAATCTAACTACTTTTGGGTAAGAAACATTAATTATTCACTCTCAGCTGCAATTTTTCTCTTTCTCATTTCTTTAATACAAATTTAATATTCTCAAAAAAACGTTAATTATTCACTCTTTCCTAACCATTTGCATCTTTGTTAGATGTCCGCATAAACTGAATAAATACAAATGAATAATAACCTCTAACAAGCTTAAAAAGAATGAAAGAATAAAAGATATAAAGGAAGTGAGGATAGAATACACTGAGCTACCGTTATGGTACATTTGACAGAAGCTTAACAATAACCATGACCATGCCAGCACCCTCAAGGCAATTGAGATGCAAATAGATTGACAGAAGTTCAAATATTCTAAATGAGAAGAAACAGAAGGATATAAAATGATACAATAAATAACAAGCAAATTAAAATCAAGACATGATCATATGTGCACACTCAAATTTACAAGAATGGAGCACGAAAACTGAGTGGAAACTCACCTCGGACTTAACCGTACTACCATTCAAGTTAAAGCAATGAGAAACAGGCCCATCAATTGGCCTCCCTCCAAAACCCCAGGCAGCGAAGCTTTTATCAGAATCATAGAATTGAATGACCTCCCCAATTTCTATTATGGCCTGCAACAAAAAACCAAATAAGAAACACCAGCAACCATGTGGATCAAGCATGTCAAAGATGATTATGTCTAGAAGAAAAGCAAGGAAAAAGGGTCATCAAGAATGAGCATTCTTTTTCAATATCAGCCACAAAAGAGGGATAACCTCACCTGCTGGTAAGCATTCAGTCTACCTGAAGGATCGATGTAATGCAATGAATCAGCGAGCCGAGGATTTCCATTTGAAGCTGATTAACAGAGAAAAGTATGAGAATTAGCTCAGAAACTTAGCTAAACCATGAACATTTAATAATTAGAAAGTAGGGAATACCTGTGAAATCAATAGCAACCAAGAAGCAGAGCTCAAAACCCACAGAAATATAATCCAAGAAACTATAATGCTGCTTCTCAACAAAGTTATCCACAAATAGCTGACTCTTCAAAACCTGAGAAGAAATAATAGGAAGACTCATGACTAAGTAGTGAATATTCAGTAAAATTGATTACACCTCTCATGAGAACATATTCAAAGTTTGTAAAATACCTGCTTATGGGCATCCCCTGCGACAGGCACAGGCACCTCTAAATAAAGATTTATTCCACCATGGTCCTTGTGAAGACTTTCCAGGTCTAACATTGATTTTTGAACTTTTCTGTTAAAGGAATTAATAAATGAGAGCCTAGCTTGTAAGTTCCAAGCATGAAAAAGACAAGAGAGGACATATGAGAAGCATACCCAATAAGTTCATGTCTTCCATTGCTATTGAAGTCATAACATTCAATAATCAACGGGTTCTCCTGCATGAAATTGAATAACCATCATAATAAAGAAAAACATAAGTTCTATGTGGAACTAAATTTTTAAAATGAAGTGTTTCCCAGGCACTTAATTGAAATAATATAATAGAGAAGGAAAGATCCTTACCTTGCATCCAAATTGCTGCATGGTAAGGACTAGGGGCCTCCATGTAGGATTAGAACTGTTCTTTATCACTTCTGTCTTACAAATTGGAATTGGAGTGCCATTCTCCACAATTTTATATATTATCAAGAAAGGGTCCTGCATGAAGAATACTCCAAAGTCAGGTACCCAGCTAGCTTTGAGCACTCTGCCCCAATTCCTGTGATGCAATAATTCCTAGGCAAACACATACACTTTTAGAGAACAGATCCTTCTTTTCGAGATCAGAACAACGTATTTTCATCTCTATAACTGTCTTTGATGCCATGGCTTCTTCGGCATGGAGAGTCAGCATTCCCAGGTTCTTTGCCCCCATTGCATTTCTTCCTTGAAGAGTAAGTGTCAAAGTTCTATCCCTCTTTGTGACTATCTGGAAAATTAGGGAGAATAAATCCAGTCAGAATTTCTGCAGTGCACTTCATTTACATATAGATGCATCCATGTCCATGCACACCCCATGCCTCTAAAGAACTTGCAAGGTCGATGGTACTTTAATATTTCACTCACAAAGAGAGCCTCAAACAAATGGGAATCATAAAAAAAAAAGTTCAAAGGCCATTTCCCAAAAAGAAAAGAAAGAATTGTTATCAGAAATGTCCATATGAAGGACTGCCAATGGCCAGGCCAGCCATGACCCAGGTGCGGCACGGACCAGGCCGAGGGGGCCTGTAGCCCAAGCCTGGCTCCTTACACCATATTTTGTGGCTAGGCCCTAGTTTGGAGGATGGGCCCACCAGGCTGGGCCTCCGGGCTCATTGCTAGCCCTAGCCTATGATTCCTCTTCTTTCTAAGTTCGAATCATATAACATCATCCTTGTTTTCTGCATCCAAAGGTGCTTTATCATCCTTTTATTTTCCAAGTATTAATAGAACATCATCGCTCTTTTTCTGCATCTAATGGTGTCATATTCAATCTCTGAGGGGCCTTGACTGCCTTAAAAACCTGGATACATGCACGTTTACCTACATACATATATATGTAAAAACACATGTCTGCATTTGTATGCACCATCCATTATACACATAATATAGGCATAGATCAGCAATCACAAGAATATTATATACAAAAGAAACATGGGAAAGCATGAATACAAGCATATGAATCTTGCCATGGTTATCTGCCAGCAGATGGAAGCACATACTTGCAGCCATGCATATCAGCTATCAAGGATGCATATGTATCTCTTTTATCTGCCATAAATGATTTGACTGAAGTACATATCAGATATTAAAGACACTTATCGTTGTTAAAACCTATGCCATGGTTGACTTATTACTATAGGTTAATCAATACATCGGTAGATTATAAAAGGTGGAGCAAATACCCTTAAGCCTACTACATAATTCTAGGCTAGCAGATGAGAATGTGCACTGGCCGCCCTATGTAAGTGATGGAATGAAATATCAAATAAAATGTCCAGAAAAGTGCAAATCACGACATTCAGATGCACTTGCATACTTCTGATTGACCATGCTAGCTGGAATTCAAACAAATGTAGAAAATGGTGGGCATGGGCAAGTGAAAGCAGTCAGCTGTGTATTTTTCATTACGTGACATTAACTACATGTGCATGACTCATGGCTCATTTCCACCCCATAAAACAAAATGCGATCACAAGGCGATGTCATACCTCTGCTAAAGTGCAACTAGCTTCACCAAGAAATTGTTGTTCATCCAGATGAATTGTCTACAAGAGTTTTCAACCTTTCATGAGTTTCAATATTCAAACTCAAACTACACAAAACAGGTACAAAAGAAACATACATGAAGATAACCAGATAACATCATTTGCCACTAATTTATCTCAATTGTAGACAGAAAACAATAAATATTTCAGACAGAACAATAAATATGTTTGGATAATTGATGGTAACTCTAAAGGTTATTGTCCAACAGAATGTCATCAAACTTCTTAGTCTATAGCATGATGAGTCTCATAAAGAAACAAATTAATATCATGCAAAACAGATAAAACAAATTATCAAAGCATACCAGTTTTTCAAGACAGCAAGAGATCTGACCCAATAATGGCCCAAATCAGACTCCCATGCCCAAGTCAATCATAGACCAGCGTGCAAATCAAAGGTCCTCAATAGTTTCTGCCAGTACTCGGTAGAAAAAGGGCAAATGTCGGATATTTATCAAGATCATAATAAATGCCTCAACTGGCATACTACCATTTGTGAAACCCAACTGTCACAAACTTGGTCAAATTAGTATGATTTTTCAGAATTCCAACCCCCCCAATGGAGTTTCTTGCCAAAGTTGTGGACCTATCCTGTCGCGCTCGTGTGTGGTGTGTGAGGCTTTGGGACTTGTGACTCTGAAATATTTTATGGATAAAGCAAAACTAAATCACACACACAATCAAGCATCACAAACTTTCATTTTCTGAAGTACTTTAAAAATAAAAAACATAAATAAATAAATAAACCTTTCATTTTGTGAAGTAAAAGAGTACCAAATGCACAAGAACAATTACCTCACACTTTTAAATGGTGGATCGTCCTGGGTCATATTGGGACCCTCTTAGACCTCACGGTTTTCTCTCACTGATGGAAGCACTGCAGTCTCCTAGACTCTTATCGATTGATTACCTTTGGGATGGTTTCTGATTTCTAGAGAAAGGGAGGCAATTTGGTGCCAGACCCCTACTAGCTCCTGAGTTACTTGTTCTCAAGTGGGTAGGGGTACCCTAGCATCCTAGGCTCATGAAGGATTTTGGAGGGTGGATGATTTTGCACTCTATTTGCTTGTTAAGGGTAGTTTGGATATTTTTCTTGACTAGGGTTAGGGCCTGCTTGAGTATAAACAATTATCCTTAGGGGAACCTAGGGTTAGGGTTTAGTTGGGGTTTCAAAGTAGGGTGGACTATTAACTTTTTGGGGGAAAGGTGGGTGGATAATTAGTTTTGGGTCCATCCAAACTCAAAAAGGACAAAATTTGGAGTTCACAATGTATAAAATTCCACTCTAGTCCCTTACAAGAGGTTCCCCATCACCTGCCTATGGTATGGTCTTATTTCTTTATTTTTGGCGCTAAAACGGGCGACTGGTCCCCAAACAATTGTAGATTGGGCTTCTACTGTCATTTTGCAACAAATTTCGTCCGAAAATTCCAAGAATCAAGGAAGTTCCATGCATGTGTTCTTGAATCCAAAATTCAGTAAAACCCATTTTCCATACACTTATTTTTTCATTTTCCGGTGGGTTTCTGCCAGTTTCTTGACGATCCACGACCAGGGAAATGTTGAGCCTACATCCTATGAACATTTTGGCTTATCGCTTGAAAACTCCCCTTATCAGATGAGGTATGAGCCTTTTATTGCATCTAAAGTGCAAAATCATCCATGTCTTCACTTTTTGACACAAATTCGCTTGAAATTGACCTTCAATCCATGCCTTGTAATTTTCAGGACACCATAGAAAGCATGTCGAGCTCCATTTCTAATGCCACAAACCCCATTACTGGCTCAAGAGAGATCGTCTGAAAACTGGTGAAAGGTTCATGAGATTTGCAAAACATAAGAAATGGCCGAATTCTCTCCAGACTTTTACCCACCTCTGGCAAGAGATACCCCTTGATATGGACTTCAATGGAAAAGCTTACGAGGCCTAGAATGACATATCCGAACCCCTGGTCGACCAACCTTAGGGTGTGAAAGAAGTCGAGGCTCGAAAAATTGCTAAAAATTATTGTTTATGCAGCCTTATACCCCTAATTTTGGTGTATTACCAGAATTAACTTTTCTACATTATGCTTTACTAGTGGACCCAAATGACCTCGAAAGGGCATGGAAATTTGGAGTTGGAGTTTTCAGGATCTCTAACGTCATCTGTGATGATCATGAACCTATCGGAGGCTGATTTCCGGGGGCTCTTTTGTAATTTTGGCCTCTTTATCATGGTCCACAGCACGGTAATAGTACTCCATACATTGTTTAGACTTTTGACTATATCTTCTCTGTTCGGCATCTTTTTGAGCCCAAAATCAGGGGGGGGTATCCTTGCGGTAGTGGGGGCTATCTTGAAGTTCAATTTAAGGCTGATTTGCATCCGCATTCGCCATCTTTAATCACGGCCCTTTATTATGCACTCCATAGCGGATCAGGGGCATAATTGACTCCGAGACCCGTAGATGTTATTTGGGAGACCCTCCATCATGCAAAATGAAGCTCTTCAAAGGAATACATCTATCGGGGGGCCCTTTCATGATTCTCCATGTAGCCGCCCTTTGGTTTCAGATGGGCCTTCCAGTGTGCGTAGACCGCGTGCAGAAAAAAGTGTGTTGGGTGAAACACATAAACCTTGTGTCATTGTCATATGCTTTTGTTTTTGCTATATTTCTCATACTCATTTTTTGTCGTATTTGCATGTTATGCATCAAGCAGACTATGTAAATATCATGGGTGGGATCCAGATATTTTGGGGTTCCTTGTTCCACAAGCGAGGGGTTTCCGAGAACCCTGTAGCGTGGTTTTGAGCCTTCATTACCCCTCTATAATTCAAAGCTGGTACATGTAAACAAGAGTCATGAGCTTAGAAATAATATAAAAAGGAGACCAGAGTCCTAAACAGCATACATTACCAATTATTTTGCTTGTTAGAAAGTAGAACCACCATATAAAAAAAGGCCGACCATTTTTTGCAGCTAGGTCCGGTTGATTTCTAGAGAGCTGTTCAAATCCAAGACCTCTCTCAATGCAAACCAGGTCTCCAACCATTAAACTAAAGGCTGAATTGATCTAAGTACCTAACAATAATTGTAGCATCCAAGTAATTGTTTATGATTCTAAAATATTTTGGCACATCGAAACTTGAATCCACCATAAGCATAGAAATAGACATAGATACTTCAAATAAAAACAGAAATTCATCTTGCAGATAATCCCAGTCTAAAATTTAAAAAGAAACTGAACATATAGATTATAGGCTACCTTAACAGGCACATTATGAAACTTGGTGTCAACATCATAAACTTTGAACCTGTAATGAAAGATATACCAGCAGCCTGTAAGGATGAAGCTCAGAGGAAAGAATTAAGGATATAAATAGAAGTATCAAACTTGATAATGATTTCAAACATATCAAAACAACATTTTTCACATTTAATGGGCATATACATAAAAAGAAATGAATTTTGTGAACCTTCAGAAGCTTACACCAATGGCTGAACCATCTCAAACTGATAAATGATACAAAGCTTTGTAATCCAGACAGGATTCAATGTATTCAATAAAACTTCTGTACGTCCAACCTCTTCAAAAGTACCATCTTTTCTCTTTGAAAATATTACAGCCATGGGATCACTCTTCAAACAAAAGATATTATTCAAGTAAGTAAAAGAAACTGCAGGAGAATAATGCATTCAAGCATGGGCAATAAACAAATATAGATATTTCATGTTCACAATTTATGATGATAAACAGTGAGAATCCAATTCACAGATAACTAAAATATCAGAAATAACAAAACAAGTAACCAAATAATATATCACAGGAATGCAACAAAAAAACTCTCACCCAGAACAAGTTATGCAAAAGCCTAGATGGAATACAAATCAAAGAACTCCATTAAAACCACAAGACAATCTCATATAAGAAGCGCAGCAGGAGACAATGAATAAAAAAAAGGTGCATTTTGTGGAGTTCAAATAAGATTTGTTGAGTCCGAGTATAGCAGTCAACTTATAGAAATGCTTGAATTTAGATCATATATAAATCCACCGTATATAAGCTTCCAGTATAATTTGCAAAAGCTATATGACACTATTGGAACTATAGATTCTATGCAACTTTTGTGGAAGCAGCCACCATGATGATACGAGAATTCTAGCCAATAAACAGTCAGTAAAATAATTGCTACGTGGCCCATGGCTCATCACCTTAATCATACTCATCATCTTGCACACCCTTCTGCAACACCTATCATTCTCAGAAGTATGGCATACTACTTCCAAGGACTAGAACGCTGAAAAAGGGATGCCTGTGCCACGTACACCTTGGTCAACAAATATGATAGACAGCACAACTCAAAGAAAAGTACTTGTAAACAAGTTTTTCCATTCTTTTTACTGATAAAGAAGGATACAAGTCAAAGTGGGCCCGACTATATTTATTGAAACCTGTAGCTAACATGCAACCAATGGACCTCCTCAAATATAAACTTCTTCTATATTTAGAATTGTTACCAACTTGGCCCGCTCAAATGTGTCCAGTATATGAATTGTATTAGAAGTAACCAAGTATGATCAATAAGACAGTCAAAATGACGAGGATAGCTGCAGTTGTGCTTCAGCCACAAACCATCTGCAGTGCAACCCTTGGAATCATAAACAAACTAAAAAGGTGATACAAAATAGATACACATCCCTATCTAAAACTACCACACAATATACCTCCACTTAACCAGGTACCCGGCCAAAGCATCAAAGAGAACCAGGAACTCCCCTATCAACGCAACTGGACTACAAATAACAACGACAATCAAAGGATAAAACAACATGGAATAGTTCGTTTGCTCTCTCAGCAGCGGTTTTTTGGCCTCTTCAGAGACCATGAAGGAAATAAACCGCTCTCTTGATTGGGATTTATTGGTCATACTGACTGTACAACAGCTGAGGCCATCGCCTACTCAAGGGCATCAAGGGAGATTCTGAGAAGAATGTCATCTCTTGGGCGTCAAGAGGCTAAACCTGACCTTGGTGACTACAACAGGCCTTTGACCACATTTTCATTTATGCAGGGGATCTTTGATGACATTTTCAATTTATGCAGACCTATTCACACCTCCTTTCGATATACGTGACACGAAGCCAACAAGAAGCTGATACCCTTCTAAGAATGGAACTAACGCAGGATACAGTCAAGGACTATTTTGGCATCTTTTTGAGGTGCAGTCCCTGGATCTTTTTGCTTTTCTATCACTGTAAAGGGTTCATTTTTGGTTGTATAGAGAGTATTAAAATACATCATTTTCTGCAATGTGTAGAATGCCCAACTTGTGGAACTTTCATGTAACTTCACTCCGCTTTCCCAAAATGTGGGACACCATCCTTCATTCATGTAACTTCATACTTCTTTATAAATATGATCGTCAATGCTTATTCAGAAAAAAGGACATGGGAGAGATGGCAGGAGGAAGGCTGCATCAAATGGAAATTGAATAAAAGAATAAACATTCAAGTGGGTTATAAATGTTGCAGAATGTAGAAAAACTCAAAAGAGATACTACATACAACAGAAAAGTATGCGAATAGGTCAAAGGAGAATGCAGTTAGCTCTTGAGTGGTTTTCTCCAGCCAAATCAAGAAGACAATACAAGAACATGCCTAAGAAATGGTTCAGATCTTTATAGATCAGAACTTTACGAAATGATCAAGCTGTTCCAAAAAATTCAGACCTTTATGTGGATTCCTAAATTCCAAAGATTAAAGGAAAGTTTATATAAGGTTGAGGCCCCTAAACAATCAAATTAAGACACACCTCAAAAATTTGCTAGAAGATGTTGTTTCGATGCCCAAAAATTCTCAAATCGATCATCTCAACCTCAAGATGTATGGACATAAGAAAAAATGGATTACAAGTCTTGGAAATAGCGTATCTTGTGATGCATATTTTTGACCGTCAATATTCACGATTTTCAAGTGTTCATAGATCTGCTCAATCTAACACTATTTTTTAAGAGTTAAATCTTAAGGCCTTCATAAAGATTTTTAGTACTGAAACAACATCTTTCGACGCTATTTGAAGGTGCACCTTACTTTCATTGTTTAGGGCCTCAGCCTTATACACACCACACCCAAGATTAAAATGCCTGCCAGTGAACCAGATGAGGATTGTGATTCCCAAAAGTGCACATTTTCATCAATTGTCAAGGGGTTCCACTTCCCCTCAATAAATGTTCCCAATAGCTTTTTGAATTTACATTGCCATAAAATAGCAGCTTTAATGAAATCTCTTTTCCCACATGGACAGTGAGAGGATCCAAAACTAAGAAATCTCACTCCAGAAGTATATAGAAACAGACTCCATCTCTCAAACTTGGGGCAAAAGAAATTTCTTGCCCTTTCTCCTTACCCTCTTTCTCCCTCCTATCTCGCTCTTTTTATGTTAACCCAATCTATCATTGTCTAAAAAAAGAGAGACAATAAAAATAAAATAAAAGAGAGGAAAAAAAGGGCTCATGTTTCATCCAGTGACATGATTGGGGAAATTACATTCTAATCATTGATGCAGGAAAGGATATTCCTGAACCCATAAATGCTATGTACCTCATAATGTATTATGCATAAAGCAGTTAACACAATTGGGTGTTTATAATCTAAGGGAGGAGTGTCATGCAAAAACGTGATGAACCTGCCTAGTTGTTTTAAATTTTCACATTTTCACTACTAAATTGAATTTTAAAATTTTAAACAAATAATAAAAGTTCAAAAAGATATTTCAAAAATCCATAATTGAAATCCTTGGCTGAAGCATCATTATTAAAGAATGGAAAGTATGGACTCCATATTTCATTGCATCCATCCGTTGCTTACTTGTTACCAAAAGGATACAAACCAAGGGAATGATTTGAAACCGGGGCATAATTCTCTTAGGCTTGACTTAACATCCTTTCCCTTGCACTAGCCTCCATGGACGTCATGCCTTAAGTTTATATACTTAAGAGCGTCCATTTGCACCTACATATGCCCCGAAGAACTAGGAAACATTTGAAGGGATCCTAACACTTTTGAACTGATGACCATAACTTGCCCAGGGAGACGATAGTTGATACTAACCTTTTAAGTGCAATGTTACATCGAGCTGGTGGTTGCCAGACATTTCTATAGCCTTGTGGTCAAACAATTTGATTGGTTCCTCTCGAAGATGAAAGATCCACTATTTGTCCAATGTAAGAACTCAAACATCCAAGATTTTCAGGCCAACAAATTAAATTTCTGAAGGCCATTGGAGAATTCAAGCATTGAAAGATAACCCATAGAAAGAAGAGAGGAAAAAAAACAAAGAGCACAACATGGGCCCATCTGTTGTCAATAATGATCAAATGGCCCTAATCCAATAGAGAAAAGAAACATTGGGGGAAAATAAATGGTTGAAAGCCTTTAGTAAATGACAAATATAGATAAGTCTTGATAGTACAAGCATCAAAAAGAGAGCTGACGCCAGACCACAAACTCCAAATTATTCTTGCAACAATTCTAGGAAATTGTCTCCATATCCTGGGGTAGTATTTAAAATGCTTTTCAATGGTCTCAAACCTCTATGTGACTAAGACTAACCAGGTTCTACACATGCACCATGCCCAGTCCACCTATAAATTGGTTGTGTGATTACCACACACTTACCCCCAAGCTTTCGTTATTTCTGAGTAACTGGGATATTTGCGGCCTTGCTCTAAATCATTGTCATTTGGTATGGCTATTTTGAGGTGTCATATAAATCAATGGCTACTTCACTCCATAGTTGTTGGAAACAGGAGCAATTAGGAATCAGAAGCGGGGAAGAGGCAAAAAGCTTCATATAATCGGAAGCGCCATCAGTATTATTACGCATATATCAGGAATCAAGATTCCCACCATTTGGGAATTGCACTCCCAACCACTTGAAAAAGCGCAAGAAGTTATTAAGGAACAAGTTCCATAGCGCCAAAGGCTCAAGGTTATAGAGTATCCTAGCCAAGGTTATTATTGGAGTCAATGTATTGAGTACACTTAGCAAGGGTTCCCCTTGTATTAATATCAACATCCCCAAGTGCCCTAAGTAAGGGTTCCCCTGGTATTGGAATCAACATATTGAGTGCCCTTAATCACAGTTCCCAATAAATATTAGAATTAAGGTCGAGTGCTCTTAGCTAGAGTTCCCTATGTACTAGAGTTGAGGTTTAATGGAATTTCCAAATTGAATATAGAAAGTAAAATTATTTGATTTATTAATAATGAACTTAAAAAAAAAACAAGACATTTATTTTGGATGCCTGGAATATAGGAATGACGTTAAGTAGAGTTTCTAGACACCCATTTGGATGTTAGATAGAGTTTCTAGACGCCCATCTTGATGTTCTATAGCGTTTCTTGACACCCATCCTCGTCGAATAAAGATAAATGAGGACCATGTGGATTTAATGGTGTGGAATTTGGATTCCAAATAACTCAGATTGATATTCCTAAAAACTGGAAGATACCATGTTCATCGAGTCACCATTTGTTGTAACTGTGAATCCAGGTTTTGATGTTGTGATGGATTCCAAATAAATGAAATCGAGATTCTTAGAAGGTGGAAGCGAGATCCATAAATTGAAAGAACCCGATTCTATGATGATTAAGACTCATTGATCGAAGCACCAAAGCAAGATTCCGAAGAGGAATCACTACCTGAGGTGGAAGACTCTAGTAACTATGGTTTCATTCACAAATCAGCATAAGAAACAAATCCAGTAGAACAACTCATATTTCGATATTTGTTTCCTCCTTTAACTAGCAAGTGCAACAACTTTTGGCAAAATGATCTATATGCCAAAAATCAACCTGCTGAGGGAAATCAAGAAGAGCTAATAATCATTAAAAATTTAGTTTTGATGTAAACAATATGGGCGCTATACCCATAGTCTAATGGTTTTGAAGTTCTAATGTCTTGCAACTAGACGACATGCCCAAATCCCATGCTAAATAAAAATCTAAATTGGCATTCAGATGAACCACTCTCAAGCAATGAATACAAAAAATCCATAAACCAGAAGTGGAAAACAAGCAAGCATCCATTCTGGGACATAATTGTGTTCAATGAAAAAAATCCAACAAAACTTTCACTGTTCTTTCTCGTTAATTGATATAATGGGACTTTCAATGATGCAGGTTGATGTGTACACATACGAGGAGTGTGGGTTCGGGATTTTCCAGGTAACTATAGCCCCAATTCTGGTTTTTGTTTTACTTTATATATATATATATATATATATATAAACAGTCTGAATTGGTCTTAGAAGGGAGAGGACCTTAAACTTTCCCTTAAAGTGTCCCAAGCTCGGATAAAGGAGATGGTTTGTGTTAGGTAGGCAGCCAACATAAAATTTTGTCAAACTTATCATGAATCCTGAACTGGACCAGGATTTGTGTAGCTAACCCCAATTAGTTGGGAAAAGGATCTGATGATGATGATTATGACGAATTAATTTTCAGCATACAAAATTTCAGCAAATTTGAGGAATCCATACCTTTGAAAAAACATCCAGATCAAGCAAATTTGAGGCAGACAGTGATATCTGTGTTACAAATGTTCATCAATAAATGACTAATTAGATAGTGTTCATCCAAATAAGAAGATCGAAAGGTACACATACAAGTTATATCACTGTGTTCATATTACAATGTTATATTGGTAATTGGTGAAATGGCACAGCACATGAAGTAACTTGTACACTTTTTGTGCTCCAATCTATAACTTAAAGAGTGTCATATTTAGAAATATGACAAAAGATCTCTAAACCAAAGACATGAAAATTGAACATATCATGACATGGTATGGCGAACAACTGAAGCCTAATTGACTGAGAATAGTATCGATCCAAGAAACAGACAAATTAGAAAAGAGGCAGATAGAAATGTTTTAAAAATATATAACAGCGCATCTCATAGAAAAACTAACAGGTAAAGCCGACAATAGTCACAAAATTTATGAAAATATAAGAAGACATTGATGCTAAAGGTGTAATTATTACCTGTGGGATAAATTTGAATAAGTAGTTTTCATGAAGATAGGTCAGGGCAAGAAACACAGGTTGGAGAGAGGGAGAGAGGGAGAGAGAGATAGAGATAGAGAGAGAGAGAGATGGGAAACAAGTATCGCCACTCAATATTTTAAAAGCAGAATAAATGGGAACAGAAACAATTATATCTGATTTGGACAAATAGAGAGAGGAAAGGGAAACATAAAAGGCACAAAGATAGATCAAGCAGAGATAGAGGGAGGAAAACCAGACAAATTCACATACAGATAAATAATAAATATGCAGTTGAGAGGGAGAGAAAGGGCATGCAAGACCATGAAGAAACTCAAATTGTAGGATTTAAGGTCTCCAAGCCAATGTAAGAGAAGGAGACAGATAAAAGTAAGATAGAGATGGACAATAGATGACAAAAGGAATCAAAAGAATACACAAATAATAATTCAACTAAAGACACATTACCCCTCCAATTGACTGTCAAAGAGAGGGTGGATTGTCTATGCAAATTAAAGAGTGAAAGAGAGAGAGAGAGAGAGAGAGAGAGAGAGAGAGAGAGAGACACAAACAAACAAGTACTAGTTAGTTGATACGAAAGAAAGTACATAGCGAGTAGGAGAGAGGACGAACAACTAAGTAACGACGAACGAACCGAC